CTACATGAAAACCATTCATCATTGCATCTTTACCATAAAATTATTGACAGCGAGGAGGGCGAGGAGCTTTATTGGCTACATTTTACAAGGTTGGACAAAGAGAAAAGTCACCCATCAGTGGGAACATGAAAACTTAACTAAAGTAATAACAAAAGGCAACCATATTTTTTGGGACGGCGCAGATGCTCAGCTGAAAAGGAGAAGAGAGAGCACGAAAGAGGGACAAGACATTTCCGCTGCAACAGACAAAACAGAACGGCCAAATAAAGTGATCAAAGAGTGTCTGCCATTTGCCCATGAACGTTCCACTGCAAAACCCCACCTCTTTCCTCTTCCTCTCTCTCTACACACATTGCCGTCTCCATCTGTTAGCCCGCCGCACTCGTCCGTCCACTGTGCCCCCCCTCCTTCCTTGTTTCCTCTCCTCCTCAGCTCCTCTCTGGCCTTCCTACCCTCAGGGAGGTAAGGTGATCTCCCTGTGCTGGTGTAAGTGACTGGTATTAGTCTCCTTCTCTGTCTGTCTGTTTGATCCCGGCACTAATGACTCCACAGGGACTGGGGTCTGATAATGGGAAATCAATATAGAGAATAGCGCTCTGGAGTGGCCTCACTTAGCTCTCGCTCTTTCACGCCTCACAGCAAAGTGCCTCTGTGTATTTGTGTGTGAAGAGGGGTGTAGTGTAGTATCTGTGTGTCTGTGTGTGTGTGTGTGTATCGATGTATGATGATGTATATCAAGGAAATCTTTTTAAGAGCAGAATTTAAATATGGGCCTACTGCCTGGTGCATGTCATTGTACATAACATTTTATTTTCAGTTTTTTAATTCAGATTAGTGAATTATTTCTACACTTCTATGGGCTGAAAGCTTATAAAACATTTGAAAATCACATTGGATCAAATCAAAGTTACTGGAGAGCTGACATTTCTGGGGTCATGCGGCAGTAATGTGCATGTGTGGCTGTGTATATCTGAGTGTGTCTAATCGGTCACACTCCTGCGCCTGGGGCCAGACAGGTGGGGCTGGTGGCATGAGGCTGGTGCCCCCCCTCCACCCTGAGGGGCCAGAAGGCCCAGCGAAGCAGGGTGCTGGAGTAGCTCCCTCTGCCAGGCACCAAAGCACTATGGCTGGTGGCAGCTGGTCCTCCGTCCCTCCCTCCCCTCCTCCCCTGCATAAGCGCCCCGCGGGCAGGCAACAGGAGGGGTGAGGAGGTCAAG